TTGGAGAAAGATTTTACCTGATTCTTCTTTCAAATATCTCTCGATCTTTTGATCAATTTTTACACCAGATTGGGTTATATGCTTATCTATATATTGTTCTGAAAGAATTTTACATTGATAGCTTCTATAATATGAATGATGATATTTGGCAGTATAGTTTGCCAGATTTGAAGGATCACCTGATCCATTATATTTGTAAGATATATATGTAACATTTACAACTAATGCTAATTTTATTTGATCCCTTCTTTGTAGCTCTTCTATGAGAACATTTGTAATTGCATTACGTGCTGATGTTATAAGGTGAGGCATATATGGTGCTTCTGCATATTTAATTGAATTGTCTTGCTTTTTATTAAATGCATATGCTGGATTTTTATATGATAGAATAATCCCTTCCCATACAGTCATACAATTAAGAAAGCTATATTATCTTTCAGAATCGCGTTCTCTTTCTAAAAATACTATATCATCATTAGGTGATTTTTCCTCTTTGTAAATTCTTTCTGCTTCCTCATAAATTGACTGGAAATGCTTTTCTTTAGTATATTCTTAAGTGTCTTGTTGCTTAACTTCACTAGGTTCTTTCTCACCAATTAATTCCTTCATATATTCTTCATTAAATATCTCAATACTAGATGATAATCCCTCTCTGTAGGCTTGAGTTAATGGTAAGGTTGCTTGTCTAAACTCATTTTGGATTTGGCAAAACAGTAAAACCTTTAGTTTCGCTAAATTTTTACTAAGTATTTGATATAGTTTCGCCATTTTTATAAGCTTTAATATAGTTTTACCTTTTTCCAAATTTCGCAGATTTTTTAATAAGGTTTTAATATAATTTAACCATGTTTTACTTTTACCATTTAGACGTCTGTCTAAACTTTTGATTTCATTCAGCAACCTTAGTTGATGGACCAGGACCTGCTTTAGAATCAGAAGTTTGGTTAATCACTTTTGACTTCTCCTTTTGACTAGAAGTCTTAGAAGCTTGGGTAATCACTTCTGCTTGTGGTTTAGGAGATTTTGGTCGAACAGAATTAGATATTGATGATTGAATAGATTTAGTTAAATTTTGATGACATTGATATTTTCTTTCTTGATGACGTCTAAGTTTCTATAATTTGGGAAAGATTTTATTACATCTATCACAACTATAATTAACCATTGTAGTAATACACTTGATATATAATACTTATAAATGTTTTTCTTTACATATTAATTATACCTTGTAGGTTTTATGTCTCCCAATACTATAATAAACTATGCTTTAAGGTCCTAATGAATAGTAAATAGTCTATTAAAATTTTGTTATCCTGATACTATTTTTTTGTCCTAACTTTGCGTAATTGAAATAGTTTTTGAATGTGTTCTTGTATATTAAAAAAAAATGCTGAAAATGAAAAGGTTAAATTGGAGTTAGAAAATTTAAAATTTTATAAAAATAATAAATAATAAAACATTTGTTTGATTTTGCTTAATAAATTTTTTAATAAAATATTAATATATGAATTTTAATTTTCATTAATATTTTTATTTATAATTTTAATTTTAAAGTGTTTTTATAAAATATAAGTTAATATTTCGTCAACGAAACACAATATCAGCTTTGTTCGATTTGCATTGAATGATTTATTATCATCATTTGAAATGAATGATTTTTTTATCATTTGATTTGTATCAAACGATTTGTCATTATTATTTGGAATTGAATGATGATTTTATCATTTGATTTGATCGAACGATTTTTCATCATCGTTTATAATTGAATGATGATTTTTTTATCGTTTGATTTGCATTGAATGATTTATCATCATTGTTTGAAATTGAATGATAATTTTTATCGTTCAATTTGATCAAATGATTTTTCATCATAGTTCAAACCAAATGATAATTTTTTTATCATTTGATTTGCATCAAATAATTCATTATCATCATTCAGAATTGAACAATTATTTTATCGTTCAATTTGTATCGAACAATTCTTCATCATCATTTGAACCGAATGATAATTTTTTTATCATTTGATTTGATCAAATGATTTGTCATCATCATTCAGAATTGAATGATGATTTTATCATTTGATTTGATTGAATAATGAATTGTTTGATTTGTATTGAATGATTCTTCATCATCATTCAGAATTGAACTATGATTTATCATTCAATTTGCATCAAATGATTCTTTATTATCATTCGAACTGAATAATGATTCTTTTATTGTTTGAATTAAATGATGATTTTTTTATTGTTCGATTTGTATCGAATGATTCATCATTATCATTCGAACTGAATAATGATTTTTTATCATTCGATTTGCATTAAATGATTTGTCATTATTATTCAGCATTAATTTATTTATTATTTTTAAACATAAAACACATTTATTTTAAATTTTAAGTTTACAAATATAAATTTTATTTTACTAATTATACTAGAATTTATTTATACAACAAATTGATTTAACATTTCTTTTCTTTTAAATTTTCCTTCTAACTTCAAAATCTCATTACTTTCATTATCAAAATCATATTGATTATTATAATCATAATCATTCTGTTCTATAATTTCCTAAGTTTCACTACTTATTTCAAGAAATTATGTAATATTATAGCACAATTAGCTAAATTAATAGCTGTTTTTAAATCTTTAACAGAGATTTCTTTTAAAGCTTTAAATCTAGCTTTCAATCTATCAAAACTCATATTCTATAACAATACTATGCTTTGAATGAATAAAATTAAACTGATGTTACCTATGATTAGAAGGATTTTTAAAAGGAAATATCAAAAAAAAGGAAATTAGATATGCAGAATCACCTTACACATAATCTTCATCTTAAATATATTCTGTTCTACTAAGATAAAAATCAAAATTGCTATAAATTCGTGCATCATATACTAATCCAGGCCATCCTATTACATAATTAATAAAAATTCCTTTAAAATTAACAATTCCTTAACTTTGAATTGCATATCTTTTTTTCCTTGTAAAATATGCTGTTACATCTTGTATTAGTGTCTCAGTTAAAATAAAATAAGTTCTATCTATATCTCCTATAACATTTTGAAATCCACCAATATTTTAAATACCTGTATGAATAACACTTTAATTATTGTTTTTAGGCCATTGAATAAATTCTGATTTTTATTTCTTATTACTTTCATTATACGATTAACATAAAGAATTATAGCATCTTCTGATACTTCAAATCAAGAACCAATACTCATGATATCATCTTTAGAATTAAGTCGTCGAAGAAATATTGCTAATTGAAAATCAACAGATACTTATGAATTATTTCCTTTGTTTTGAAATACTATATCATGCATAAAATTTATACTAGCCTATTAAATTGTTGTTTTCCATTCTTAATACTTTTTTATATTGTATATTATCATATAAAGGTAAGATTTCATACTACTAATGTTTAGATTTAACAACATTATGTGTTCGAGTAACAAGATAACAACTAGAAGATAAAGTAAGAAGAACTATTTTTATTAGTTTATAGTTATTACCATCTATTTCATTTAGGTTTAGTTCATTTTTAAAAGAATCATCTATATCCTTCTTTATTAATAAGAATAAACATAGTCTGCATTGTGTTTAATTGACATGATTGGTTAAAATTTTAAAATGAAACAGATCAATTCAGCATTTATCTGTTCAATTCTTGTCATTTTTTAATTGGTCAAAATAATTTCATGAAAATCAGATCAGATCAAAGTGGAATAGAATTGAACAGGGCTAAGGTATCTTATTGTTTATTTACTTAAAAATTGAGTTGATATATGATTGGTTACTTGTAATACACTAATTCATACTTAGCATTTTTCGCAACACTTCTATATATTCTATTTATCTTTTCAACTCAGAATTATAATCAAAGTAAAATATTATTAAGGATTAGTATTAATTTATAAAATTAAATTAATAATATTACTAAATTTACTTATCTTATAAACACATTAACAATTTAAGAATTAGATTAATTATTTATTAGAATAATTTATTATTAATTTTAGTATAGAATATATTGCATATAATTTAGTATGATCAATTATCTTTAGGTTAAAATTTTTTTCAATTAATTTATTAGTTATAAATTTCAAATAAAAACAGATTCTTAATGAGAGCTTTCATAATAATATTTATAGAATTATATTTTCTATGGCAATTATGTGATATGAACCTTTTCTGACTATAGATTAAAATTCAATTAACATAAATAATGTACTATTATACCTAAAAAATTTATTGCTAAAAAATATATATCAAAAATTGATCAGAAGTTTTTTTTCAAATATGAAAAATGCTTATAAACTTATAGACAGAGTTGGGAATTTTGTATGTACTAGATAAAATTATCACTGTACTTGTACTAATTTTTATATTAATTATTATAATATACTAACTGTACTATCTGTACTAATCATTGTACTAACACTGTACTTCCCAACCCTGTTTATAGGTTCTGTAAATGAAAAGCTAGATAAAAATGTTGTAATAAGCAGTTGGTCTATTGAATATTATCCAAATTCAATTTGATAAAGGTAATTAATTAACTTATAAAATATAGTTATTTTTAATAATAATTATTTTATTTACTATACTATATCTTTATTTATTAAAGCATTGAAGTTTAATCACAAGGTAATTAAAACTAATTATTAGTTTATCATTTGATTTAAATTTTAAACATAATTTCTTGATGTCTCCACTTTGCATTGCTGAATGCTGCAAATTAAAACATTAAAAAGAAAATGGTTTACTGTATATGATCAATTTTTAATTTATTTTTAATTTTAAAAACTCATTTTTGAGTTAAATTTTCAAACGTGCATTCATCCTAAAACATTTTCTTTTACTGTATATTTTTACTTCTGAAATCAAATGAGTTGCCCGTTATATTTCCTTGTTTTTGGCGTCGCACAATGATTAATAACGATCGACCGCATGACTATTAATGAAAATAGTACTCTCTCTCTTTCATTTTGAAACATGGATTTCAACTTTGCAAAATTTTACCATCAGCAAAAACTATCGAACACCGAGGCCTCAGATGAAGATATTGCCAAATTATACATCTTACACCAAGGTAAGTAAACAGCGCACGTTTATTAGCATTATTATCACACGCTTCTTGCCCCAAATCAACTTTGTTTTGCAACTTAAAAATTTCTAGAGAAAATTTGTTATAATTCATATCCTTGAAAATAAATTATTTTTTTTTTTTTACCCAAACGGAAGCAATGGAAAAAGAGAGCTTAAGTCCCGCTAAAGTGGCACCAAAACATCATCCTAAATACGAAGATATGATTCGAGGTTAGAATTATGAAACCTGTTTTTTGTTAATTTCAAAGAGAATACTTTAGAATAGGTGTTCTTGATTAGTAAAAAAAAATAAAATGAATGAATAAATCAAAGATAAATACACATCAAAAAATTTTTTAATATATTATAAATTATAATAATTAACAGCCGCTCTTGTCGCTTTGAAAGAACGTAAAGGAAGCAGGTTTGCAATCTTTTCTATAGTTTTTTTCATGTTTCAAAGTCTTTTTTCTCTTACAAATAATTTTCATATCATTTATTAATAATAGCCGTCAAGCTATTAAGAAATACATTTTGAAAACATACAAACTTCCCGACAACTCAACTACAAATAATCGTTTCCGATTGGCTATCAATAAAGGTGTCGAAAAAGGAAGTTTCTATTTTCCCAATGGTAAGTAAATTGAATTATATTTTATGTTACATATTTTCATATTTGATAAAATGTGATTCATTAAATCATTATATATTTTTTTTAGGCCCAAGTGGCACTGTCAAAATTGTAAAGAAAATACAGATTAAGGAAGAAAAGGGAGAACCCGAGAAAATAAAAAGCCCCAGCTCTTTTCAAAATGGTAAATACATATAATTTTATTTCTTGGATTTTTTCATAAACGCCTATGATTCATTATACCGTTATATTTTTTTAGGCCGAAGTGACACCATTAAAATTGCAAAGAAAGTGCATATTAAGAAAGAGAGGGAAGAACCCGAAAAAACGGAAACGCCCAGCTCTTTTCAAAATGGTAAATACATATAATTTTATTTCTTGGATTTTTTCATAAACGCCTATGATTCATTATACCGTTATATTTTTTTTAGGCCGAAGTGACACCATTAAAATTGCAAAGAAAGTGCATATTAATATAGAGAAGGAAGAACCCGAAAAAACGGAAACGCCCAGCTCTTTTCAAAATGGTAAATACATATAATTTTATTTCTTGGATTGGATTTTTTCATAAACGCCTATGATTCATTATACCGTTATATTTTTTTAGGCCGAAGTGACACCATTAAAATTGCAAAGAAAGTGCATATTAAGAAAGAGAAGGAAGAACCCGAAAAAACGGAAACGCCCAGCTCTCTTTACAACGGTATGCTATATTAAAATAATTAAAAATTAATTTTATGTAATATTAATACATACGACTTATTCTTATTTTTTACATAAACATGTATGATTCATTTTTATCTTTTTTTTTAGGCCCAAGTGCCCCTATCAAAATCATAAAAAAAAGTAAAGATTAAGAAAGAAAAATAGAATCCGAAAAAAGGAATAATACAAGAAATAGAAGGAAACCTAAATATTGATTAGTCTTATATTTGAAATTTCCCAACTATTAATAAACTTAGCATTTATGCTTAGATGAGATGTTAGGTTTTTTTCTTTAAATATATGAATAGTCAGTCTTATACAAAATTAATTCAAATATTGGCAATATATACATATAATAACTTGGATTAAATGGATTAAAATTGATATTTGTTATTATATGTAATATATTTTCTTTACCAAGTTATATTCAATTTATGATTTTTTTTAATTATATTTTATAAGTTTTATAATCATATTAAGTTTACAATCTGCATAGTATTTTAATCAATTATTTGATTCAAATTATGAATCATAAAAATCCTATCTGCATTGCTTATTAAATATATAAAATTTCTAGGAAAATGGAATTCTAAGAATTTTTTAATAAAATTTTGATTTTTGATTTTTGATAATATTAAATTAAAATGCAATAAGAATTAAATTTTAGCAAAAATTCTTGAATCTCATTTTCTAGTTAACCTTCTATATATATATGTTAAAATATTTCATTATAATTATTTAATATTAATAATTATTTAATAAAATTTAATGAAAAAATAATATAATAAAATACTAAAATAATTTTACAGCTAAATTATTTATAGTAATTTTATTATAAAATGTTTTTAGTCTAATATAGTCACAATTTATTAGTGATTCATAATTATAAAATTAGCTGTAAAAATGTTTTATAATTTTAAATTTTATCAAGATTATTTATTTATCTCTTAAATTATAAGGATTTACAGCAAATTTGCCTGCTTTTTTTACTATAATTTTTTTTTCATTGATTAAAATCAAAAAAATCAGATATATGATAATTTATTTATCAATTATTCATCAATAAAAAATAATAATAAGTTGGCAAAATTAATCTAAATCAACTTATTTGATTTATTACCAATTAGAATTGAGTCAAAAAAATAATTCTAATTGGTCTAATCAGATAATGTAAAAATTATCTGATTAAAAAAAATCATATTCTTAAGATATAATACAAATTATAAAATAATATCATTCTATTGGTAATAATAAAAATAATTATTTTTTTTAAAATGATAAAATTATTATACTAATTGAATTACTTTATCATTAATTAAAATCATAAAATTTCTTAATAAATTATAAAAATTATAATAATAAAAATTTTTTTATAAGTAATTTTATAATATTCTATTATAATTAATATAGTTAAAAGTAAATTCTAAAAAAGTTTATTATAGGTTAATCATAAAATTTTTTAAAATTAATTTTTTTTGATAATTACAAATTTTTAGTTTCTAAGTAATATTATATTATATAATTAAAAAAGAAAACTTATTATAATATATTATATAATTATAAAATTGATTTAAAAAAAAATTTTTTTTAAAATATTAATTTGTAATCTGTATAACAATCAGAGAAAATCATCAACCTTAATTAATGTCGATCGGGGATAAGTATATATATCATTTATATAATAAATTTAAAAAGTGTCAGAATCTCTTTTGCCATACTACTTAAATATAATTCTAAATGGTAAAAAGTAAAAATTATGATGTTTCTCTACTTTCAGTGGGAATTATTGATCCAAAATTGCATTTTGAATTCTTTTCAAATGATTAGTAAACAGTTTGTAATCAAGAAATAGAATTTCTTGTTCCCATTCGTTTGCATATGAAAATAATAGCCTTTTTAAATGCAGTCATACCTCGATATAACGAATTTGCCGATCCAGCTGATCAAGACTTCATTATAAGAACCTTCGTTATAGCGTTAATGAATTATTCGTTATAGTAGATGATTACTAATTTTATTACACAAATATAATTTTACTATGATATAATTTTTCCAGAAATATTTTGTAATTTATTTTAACATCCAATCTGTTAATCATTGTACGACAGTTTTATTAATTTAAATTTTTTTTTAAAATAAAAAAAAATAAAAAAAAAAAAAAAAGAAAACTAAACGAAATGAAAAAAATGAAATTAAGAAACTGAAATGAAAACTATAAAACGAAATTAGAAAAATGAAACGAAATGAAAAAACGAACAAAACGAAAAAATGAAAAAGAAAAAATGAAATTAAATGTACAATACGAAAAGAAAAAATGAATGATACGAAAAAATGAAAAAGAAAAAATGAAATTAAATGAACAATACGAAAAGAAAAATGAATGATATGAAAAAATAAAAATGAAAAAATGAAATTAAACGAACGATTTTAAAAAGAAAAAACAAACGATACGAAAAAATGAAATTAAATGAACAATACGAAAAGATAAAACAAACGATACGAAAAAAAATGAAATTAAACGAACGATAAGAAAAAATAAAATTTTTATAGCCTTGCAGATGCATCGTGATTTTGCCGTCTATTTCGGTTTTGCCTCGCAAGCTCATCACAGTTTTTCCTTCTATTTCGTATTTGCCTCATAGTAGGCAAATTACGATTTCTCCTACCTGCATGTCTCAATTCTAAAAAAGTAAATATATTTAATATAAATCTAAAAATCATTTAAACTTTTTTAATTATTACCTGGCCTATCCCAGAATCGAGTCCTGAAGAGGTTGTATAATCTTTCC